AAATAATTAAATCAATAGTTAACCTCCTAAAACATGTTATACGTGTCTTGATTATATCTATTATTCTAACATGAAGAAATAGAAAAATCACATCATGGAGGGCTTATAAAATGCTGTTCGTCTTCATGTAGTATTAATATCAAGGTGCATATACATCATGTATTTATATTAGGGCTATGCAATATTTGGGTGTTAATACTGAAACGGTTATCACACTCCGATTTATCAGAGGTTCTCTTGTAATGTTCATCAAGAGATATTAAGAGGCTGTGGAACCAACTATGGTATGTTCACCCCTCCCTTTTTTAAAAAACTGTTTTTAGAGATGGGTCTCAGATATTCAGATATGTTCAGAAAGCACCAGAGAGGGTCTGAATTTCAAAATTAGCTTGTGGTACTTTGCCCGTACCTGCTATGTGTAGGCGGACCTGGTGTGTCAGCGGCACAACCCATCCGTACACAAAGTCGCCCCCCCCCCCCAAAAGAAATCTTTTAAACAGGCTTCTGTACTATCTCCTGAAGGAGAAGCCTCTCAGCTCAATCCCACTCAATGCTGTTTACTTTGTCTACCTTATACACTGTATGATATGCAAACCATGGTATTTGCCAAAACAGGAGAACATGAAATTAACTTACAAAGGGCAACAATCACAATCATGATTGCCTTTTAAATGAAGAATACCTGGAGCATTAGATGACCTTATCTCTGAATAAAAGAATTAACTGATTAACACTAGAATGAATTATCTGACTTACAGAGGAAGATAAATTCAACAATGTTTGTATAGATAACAAGTACATTGACCTCAAGGTATGATACTGAAGAACAAAAGGCATCTGAATCAAAAGAACATCATTTTATCAGTAATACACTAGAATCTGTAAATCCTATCACCAATTCGAACACTTCTCTGTTTAACACCTTTTCTTGGTCCCAGTTTTGTTATCTTATATTGACTCTCATATATACACTTTTATTGTTGGTGGAGGAGGGTCAAAGGGTCAAGGTCAGATGGGAAGAACTGGATCAAAGGCCAAAATTTGTAAAAAGCACATCCTATTTATGACAACATTGCATAATTCCACTCTAATATCCTAGATGAAAATCAGACAGATTCAGGATCTATTATGTAAAAAAAACGGCAAAAAAGTTCTCAGGTAAATAGAGTAAACATTTATGCTAGCACATATAAACAAGGAACTACAATGTAACATAAAACAACAATACACTACAGAAGCTAGACAGCATCCTGCTCACACCAGGTACCTAATAATACATGTACATGTACTGAGGTAAAGATAAACAAAGGGTCATATAGGGCAAAGCTGTTGACGAGAACAATGTGCATGTACAGAGAATCACGGGGAACAGTTTTATTACTTTAGAAATACATACAATAAACCTGGAACACATAATTTGACAGATGGATGAACTGCAAATAAGTTTAATAAATAACCATTATATTAGTGCTCTTCTCTTAGTTCATTGAATTTGATAAGAACCTAGATTAATGAAGAAACAACCCCGAATTGGATTTCTAAAAGAAAAATAAATGACAGTCTAGCTTCAAGACCCTGGACCCACTTATCTACTTAAACAACAAGGTTGTAAAGTAAATTAGGGGGAGGGGGTCCAGGGTCTTGAAGCAAGACTTAATGAGTGGATTCCACCCTTTGGAAATTCGCAACTAACAGAAGTACAGAATTCTTGCAACTCTTCAAATAAGTACTAAAATCACATGTTATATTTCAATGTGTCTAATTTGTTCAATATGCCACCACAAAACCACAGACCACTCATTAAATATTTATTCTACTTCTCACTTCTCAGATGATCCAATTTAATGAGATTAGGGTCACCTCTTACAAGGTAAGGACCAACTGACTGAAATGATTTGGAACATATAGGCTCCTTCATTAAAGAATATAGCTTTGACTACAGAGAGATGTCCATATCTACAGGTTTAATTAATTGTGCATAGTTTTAAAATGATCAAGGATCTACAGTATACCTTCTTTTTTTATTGCATAATAAATTCCATATAAATATAATTAACAAATAGAGAGGCCTCGGGCTCCAAGAACATTAATGGCCCCCTTTAGGGCATGCAAATATACTCAACACCCATATATTCAGAATTGTATGACCGGGCTTTCTTTATATTAATTGTACACAATAGTGTGATGTTTTAGAATTACTATCCATTTAAATGGTATGGTTAATATAAAATGAATGAAATCAGATTTCTCATAATGATCAAGGCAAACCCTAAGGCAACATGTCACTTATATAAATATTGCAATTAGAATACCTAACATGTACACAGATTGTGTTTCAAACTCAGGAGTAATTTCATAATATATAGGGTCACCCTAACTCCTGTCCTTGGGTCAAATAGGTGCATGAGGGTTCTCACATATAAACAATAATAGAGGTAAAACAGTGTTCAAATTGAGGGGTAATGATGTGAAAAAATCTGCTAAAAAGTGTGTACAGTAAAACCTATGAAGTGGAACAACTCTATAAATGGAACACCTGCTACCCATTTACTAATTCAAAATAAACATCAAAACACCTCCCAAGAAGAGCACTTTTGAGGTATCCAAGCTGTTCCAGTTATACAGGTTTTACTGTTAATTATATGACTATGTTTGCATTGAAGAGTATCTATGTGAAGGAGGATTTTGCTAATATAATGATTACATTGGTAGGTTGATTGGTTTAAGTGAGCCCATGTGATTATTTTATTTTTCATTTTTCTACACTGGAAGAAAAACGATTTTCACCCTAACGAAATCGTCATTTACCCCCTCCCCCTAACGAGACTAAGTTCGTTATTCCACAACTGTTGACTTTTAGACACCATCCCTAAAATTAATACTTTTACATATTGACTAATCAGAAAACACAACAGAACCATACTAATAATTTAATATAATATGGACATATGGTATTCATCATAATTAAGCAATGGGCAAGGGATGACCAAATTCAACTGGTGAGACAAGAGGTTTACCATAATATTAAGAGTAAAGAGTGTAAGAAAGATGATTAATGAATCAGGGTCATTATAGCTAGCAAAGGGAAGGAGATATGATCTCAGGGTAAGCTGGAATGACCTGGATCGGAATATAGGATGTCACAAAGCACAAATGAGAAACATCTGCCTTCAAACATTCAAAGACAAAGTATGGTTTACTAAAGGGTCAAGTCCTTTGAATTGAAGACTTGGAAAATAATATCATATGCTACTGTTACTGTTCTTACTATCAATTCAGTAGTTGATTCAGTTGCATTTATAGGACACATTAACCTAAGATTCATTTTATGGAAATACACTTATCATACACATAAAATAAAGTTCCGGTTTCCTAAATTAATCATTTTTCAATGTTTTACTTAACAGATACCTATTATCTTTTGAAGCTGTTAAATAGATTTTTTCTGAATGGGATTAACTTTAAATACTATAAATACACATCCTTATCAATTGTTAGCTTTACATTTATAGTAATGGTGAAAAGTGAAAGCTTTTAACCTGATAACGTACAATGTCTAAAGAGTAGTAGAAAGTACAGTTTGAATCTGGGTTAAATGTTAAATAAGAGTAATAACCAAACAAAACATGAGAAAACTCTAGGATAAACATATATAATATGCATATGGTTTGAACTTAAAAAGCAGCTAATGAGGCAATAGACAGGAGAAAATGAGTCATTCAATCATCGACTTGAAATATATAACTGAAAAATGGTTTCTTTAGTTTTCTAATCTTCTTTTCTGAAGATACATAAATCACGTGTAAACCTAGGAAGTGTTATTATCTGATACTTAAAGGCAGAATCAGATCTATAGGGGGTGACAAAATTACAAGCAACGTGCATAATTGACCTACCAATCTATTCCTTACAATATCAAATACAATATCTCCCAAAAGATTCACAATATGTTATAAATTGGTGAAGTTATTAATGATTCAAAGTGCAAAAATGGGTGAAAAATGTTTAAATTCTCCCAAATAATAAGAATGGTAACCATTCTTATAGAAAAATAATATATTATTGTAAAAATCTTTAGTTTTCCTTGAATAAAGTATGCACTTTTGTGATTTTTAGAAAATAGACATGACAAGGAATGACGTGAGCCAAAAATATTCTAAAATTGAAACAATTTTTTGTTATGCCTGCTCGCTATCTCTGATTCTCTCTTTAAGTGAATATATCATCAATAAAATGGAAATACCAGCATGTGAAATAAAGTAATATTCCCAAAACAGATATCATGAGCAAGTATGATTCAACGTAGTAACATATAAAATGTCACACTTGCCATTTGTTACAGACTGAGCACTGAACAGACTATCAAACACCAAACAACAACTGCCAAACACCAACTGCTGAACACCATCCACAAAAATTTTGGAGACTATAACAATTGTGGTGGTGACATAAAAAACATACCTTGTGCAGATAATAACATTTTTTAATAAATTTTTCTTTCATAATTACTTTTTGTTCAGCAATTTTAACAAATATGATATGATACAAACTTATTAAACATGCAACTCCTCCTTCCTTGTTATATATGAACTTAATAGAGTTTAAAAAGGTAAAGGAATAATTGCAATCATCCCCATAAAATTAAGCATATACAAGGCATTTAGCATTCTGTATATCCCAGCTCAGAACACATGGTTATTAGATATGAAGTCAAACTACTAGCCAAATTGAAATAATAATCATTGCTGGGCTTGCATCAATTGATCAAGTACATACTAATGCCGTAAAATAAGATACACATGTATAATGCATTTTCTAACACTTTTTTATTTGTCTTAAATTGTCAGGTATGGGTTCTATATTCTGTAGAAGAGTTAGAATTAGAAATAATGAAATGGCATTCACTTGGGAGATTTAGGGACATGGACTAATTTTTACTGTTGTAATGCATATATACATGTAGTTCATATAGAAGGTGAATGATTTTCCAATTAACCTACCTCTCTTCCAGTGGGCACATGCTTGGCAAGTTTTACTTTGGCAAAGTTTCCTTTGCCTATAGTTTTTATAAGTCTATATTTTCCTATGTGAGGCTCGTCAGCCCCTCTTCTAGAAGAACCTATCCTTGGGTTAGCATTGTCATCATGACGTCCATGTCCATGTGAGCTCTAAAGGAGAAAGAATATGATCATACATAATACTCTGACAATGATAGCTTTGTTATGCATTATAATAAATCTATTACACATGCCGAGTCTTCCAAGTCCTAGGATATTTCTAATGTGCCAATGGTATCAGATTATCAAGTGCCAGGACTATAGTCCTGAGAACGTCTCAGTCTCAAACCGAGATAATTGTGGATTCAACTACACAAAAAGAATGCTAAAATACCCAGGAATCTATTAAACTAGGTGTCTTAAGTGTAAGAGGCGTAGAAAATTCTCCCATGTTGTAATCGTACAGGCAAAAGATTGAGACGTTCTCAGGACTATAGTCCTGGCACGCACGAGATAAGTTTCGGACACAGAGACCTAAAGGGAGAAGATTTCCATTTGCCTCCCTAGATATTTACAGAACCATTCTTTGGCCATATATTACAAACAAAAATATTGCACCTAATATATTCCTGAAAAATAGATGAGCAGTAGCCGCTAGATTACTTTGAGGCTGATAAAAATTATCATGATACTTTGACAGTTTGAGACAGATGATGGAGGGCTCCATTTGCTGAATTATGAATTATAGATAATATTGATAGATGACCATAAGAGAATGAATACCTCTACAAGAAATGTTTGAAACTTACAGGCCCTGTTTAGTATTTTACCTCTTTTGAGTTAGAAAGAGAACGATGAAACTGAACCACACTGAGACTTCTGCTAGGTCCAAGTGTCAGATTGGGAGAAGTATGCTTTTTTACTGGTCTATGCATTACAGCTACACCTTTTTATATATTCCATGATCATAGTTATACTTACATGATGAACCCCATGGTGTCGATCAGCAGTCACAGACTCATGAACAGTGTGAAGATGAGCTCTTCCTGACATTTTGAATATATTACTTCAAAGTTCTGGACTGATATTTCCCTCTCTGCTTAGCTATCCGTGCCGCTTCTACATGAGTTCAGGTAACATATGTAAAGATGAACCAATGTCCGATGCGGCTACACCTTCGATAACCATATAGCCAAAAAACCAAAGATTTACCGAGGTGTTTCCAAATGTCAATTTTCAGCCCAAAAAATTACTGAACTTTTTTGAGATCATTCGGATTCAGAGCGAGTTTCCTTCCATTTGCTGGAAATTCATATCCACTGGATCCTTTTGAAAATATACTTTGTAATCCAATGAACCATTAGAACAGCTACCATATGCCCAGAAATACGATTAAATCAAGAAAATCATGGTAAAACTAAAATATTTTCACTTCCTCAAAACAAAATGGCCGATCTATTTCTTCTCCACGCCAAGGGATGGGTCGTGCGCAAAACCGCTAACTCGCACTTTCATTGGTCAATTAGGAGATGAATGACGTCATGTAGAGTTTGATGGTCATTTTATCAGCTGATTGCTACTGTTAATTACCGTGCATTCGTTAAATACATTTAATTGATCAAAAACATTTACGGAACGTATAGACCTATTTAGGTAGAATAAATTGGATGCATCAAAATTCATAATATAACCAACAGGTGACATTGAAATTAACATAAGTAAAACGAAAGTGAAAGAACATCAATACAAAATTACAAAGGGCAATACACCGGGGACAATAAAAAACAAAACAAATACAAAACCACATAAGTAACAAGAGCAGTGATCATATAAACCCTACCACTTACACCAAATCCTAACTTGAAATAATTGATATAGATATGTACAATGAAACCCCAGGAATGAAATATTGTATATTCTTCAACCAAGCTTACTGTCAAGAATAAGCCATGTCTAGATTTCAAATGGTGCAGTTTGTTCTCGTATCATACCAAAATTAAAGAACGTTTGGCATGGAAAGATGACCATGTATGTAAGTATTGTATTGAAAATATCTGAATTACCCCGGGAATGTATTCAGGTATTTCTCATCTCCCGCATCATATTTTGCATTTATGTGACATCTATTTTAAAACTTATTCATTTCAGCATCAATTTATACAATGTAATTTACATAGTCTTGATTTAGACAAGGCTTTCCTAGACATCTTCTATCTTATATTATCTTAGATAGGGGGTATAATCTATAGTAAGGCGCTGTACACGATTGAAAACAACCATTTTTGAAAACAAACGCAGTTGCCATCTATAGACCGAACGGCATAATTCATAAATAGTAGAACGTTCGCGATTTCATTGGATAGCTTGACGGAAGTAGAGATTTCCAAAAAAGTTTAAAAGTTGATGAAATGTCGTTTTTTGTTTGATATACCGAATGAAACTATTAAACAGACATGGCAAGCACAAGTATTGATCATGACGGTGCCCCTGAATATGTATTCAAGCTAAAGCAAGCCAAGAATTTCAAACAGGAAGGGAATGAAAAATATAAATTAAAAAATTATAAAGGTGCTGTGGGGAAATACCATAGAGCCTTGTTATATACCAAAGGAATAGAACAAAAAACAAATATGGGTCCCTTGGAGGGTATTTTGAAACTTGAAGAAAGTGAACAAGCGAGAAAATATGAAGCTGTGCCAAAAGATGTCATGGAAGAAGTTGTCAAGTTAAAACTCGACTGTTACAATAATCTTGCAGGTAAAAACTTTCTTCTTGTCATCTGTAAACAAAAAATCAATACAAATACACTTCCTAATGCTTTCTCGTCGAGAAAATATTTTTGAAGACAGTTGCATTTTTTGTGCTGCAATCTACCAGTGAGGCCATCTCTCTAAGATTTACTTCCTGCGAAAGCTATTGGTTATTGATAATAGCTTTCCCACGGAGCATTTGGACAGCTCAATGATCGTGACCTTTGAAATCGAATTAAGTCGATCCGCGGCTTACTTTTGGTCTCTAACTGTGTCTTACATCAGTATCATCAATCCGTGTAAGTATCGGAGCACTGGAGTACTTCTTTTTCGATCAAGACTTGTAATTGTTAGTCGAGTGAATCGTTTTACTGCCAAATTCCAATATGGCGGTTTCTGCTCGGACATTTTTGTAAATCTCCGGAGGTTGTCCGAACCTAACTAATTCTCAAAATTCATTTCGTTCGTTGCGTATCTCGCACCTAGCAAACCGCCATATTGGAAATAGGTCTAAAAAACTTTCACTCGATGAACAATTTACAAGTCTTGATCGAAAAAGAAGTACTCCAGCGCTCCAATACTTACACGGATTGATGATACTGATGTAAGACACAGTTAGAGACCAAAAGTAAGCCGCGGATCGACTTAATTCGATTTCAAAGGTCACTATTGATGAGCTGTTCACTTCTCCGTTTGAGAGCCATAAGTTTCAAAATCTAACATGGCTCTCGAAGTGAGTAATCTATAAGATTTGTGATGAAAAGTAAATATGTTACTGTAAATAGATGTAACATAGCCGAAATAGTAGATTTATGTTAAATGAAATGGAAGGCATCAGAAAGTGCCAACTATGCACGGACATCTAATACGAGCTATTACAGTAAAATTTTAAATGTTAGGAACTACTTTGAATTTAAAAAATAAGCAATCAAATGACTATATTGCAACAGTATATAAAAAATAGAAACATATGTACTTGTCCTAACTTTTGTATATTTCAGATAGTTATGTATAATGTGCACGGATAGTGGGAAGTCCTCCATCTAGGAGGTATATACACCAGGCTGACAAATAATATAAGTAATATATGGAGGACTTTCCATAACCGTGATAATGTGCAGTAAAGCTGTGACCTTTTGTAATTTAGGGAGTTTCAGCCATGTTAATTTTTCTGAAAATAACATGGCGGAGAAGCATCAAAAGATAAGAGGGCACAGCTATGAATATGATAGCTAAACTACAAAACAAACCAAAATATACAAAAGTTAGGACATGTATAAATGTTTCTATTTTTACATATACTGCTTCAATATGGTCCTTTGATTGCTTATTTTTTAAATTCAAAGTAGTTACTAACATTTAAAATTTTACTGTAGTCGATGTTGGATATGCTGAACGAGACCCTATCTGTTGCAAGACTAACGCCTGGCGTAACCGTCACCATGTTATTCAGTGTTTTTAAGTAGCGCAAAGATCCTGCCGTGACCGTGGTAATGTTATCGTGAAAGCCTGGTATAACCGCGACAAAGCTGTATTATATTGCAATGCCTGCCATGACTGTGACAATGTAATATAGTTCTGCAAGGCTTGGCATGACCGTGACAATGTAATGTGGCAATGTAATGTTATACTGCAAGGCCTGGCATGGCCGTGACAATGTAATATAGTATTGCAAGGCTTGGTATGACCGCCGTGGCAATGTGATATAGTATTCCAAGTTCGGGTATGAGAGCGGTAATGTAGAAAGGATCCGTACCCATTAGTGTACCTATAAGGACTTAGAAAATTATTGAAAAGGGTAAAATTGAATTCCAGAATTATTTTTATATAATATGATTCTTTATGAAGTATATTTTCAACAAATCACAAAAATAATATCTAAAATACGGTAAAAAGTTGTTTTTTACAGTGATTCTTAACACATGTCATCCTGACTCTTAGAATGAGTAATTTTCACATATTTTGACAAAAACTTGAATAATTTCTTGATTTTTGAAGATACACTTAAATCGACTTGTCATTATAAAGCTATAATGTGTCAGAGCATACTAAACTTCACTTTGCTGATCAGTCATGCATAAATACTTTGTAATCCTATTGTTTTGACAGGCACCCTATTGTGTTCTTGTTTTTAACAATGAATGACCTTCTCCAGTCACTGACAGATTGAGGTGCTTCCGCAGGTCAGACCCCCTCTGATTTTACCTTTATTATTTAGTATTGACATTATTGCATAATTCAAACATGAAATAAGAGAGGGTCCTGTCTGCGGAAGATACACAATGTGAAAGTATACCATAAATTTTAGTTCGAACAAGGAGGCCATATTGGATCTACCTGTCATCAAGGCTACAAACTATCAAGCAAGAATCAGTTGGGTCAGTCTAGTTTTGATTTATCAGTCATGCCTGCCTCTGAAGATGATATACATTGTAGAGGGACTGAATTAATATTCATTTAGTCATTAAAGGGACACTGCTTTTAAGGTAGTTCTCATCCTCATGAACACAAAAATATTTTTTTAAATATTAACAAAGAGTCAAAAGGGTCAATCTATTTTTGATTCATCAGTTATGTCTGCCCCTGAAGGTATATTCCCAAGGGACTGAATCATTATCCATTTACCCATTTAAAGGGACACTGGCAGCTTGTAAGGAAGTTCTCATCTAAAGAAACTTATGCAGTCAATCTATTTTTGATCCATCATTCATGCATGCACCTAAAGATGATATAATGATGATATATTTAAAGGGACACTGCTTGTAAGGTAGTTCTCACCAAAAGAAAACAAAAGGGTCAATCTATTTTTGACGCCTGCCACGAAAGATGATAATTGCTGAGAGACTGAATCAGTATCCATTTAGTCATTAAAGGGACAGTGCTTGTAAGATAGTTGTCATCCTTAGTCACACTAAAATATTTTATTTCATAATGATTATGTAACTTACACAATTGATAGGTTAAAAAATTCCTCCCCTTGTTTGATAGCAACGATGAGTCTTTTAAAAGGCTTTAAGCTTCAAAAGTTTATATCCAAGACTATCACTGTATAAGTTGCAGCTGAGACCATCACCTGCTTATTTTATGCAAATTAGTTATTTTGAAAAACAATGCTAATATGATTAGAGAGTCAATTACCTTTTATCAATATTCTTTGAAAATGGCACACAAATATTTCATACATTGGAAAGTCACAACTAGATTTGTAACAGTTGAATTGAATACCTAGCTGAATATATCCTCTAAATTGAATACCTAAGTTAAACCTACTGTATACTAACTGTGGTGATCATGGTACCATTGCTAAGAACACCTTTATTAAGATTCATCGATATATTACGTTTTAGGGGTTATTTTATGATTTGTGTTTTCAATATGTTGCCCTCTGTGTCCCACCTCAATGATGTTTAGATATATCGATTGATTGAATAGTCAACATGCTTAAAATAGTCATGAGTGAAGACTAAAGTACCCCTAAAATGATATTTAGAATGATTTGCATAGTCAAACTTAAATGCACTGAATGACCTTAGTTTTAATCCCAATGACCTTATTTCATTTTGGATATGTTCATAATCGATAAAAGTATATATTTCGATGTTATTTTCAATGAAACCTTTGGGGGCATCTCTAGGTAGATTGGGTAACGGATCCTTTATGATTGCTATTAAGTGACCGTGACAATGTCTATTTCAAAACCTGGCATGACCGTGGCGATGTATTATGGGATCGCAAAGCCTGGTATGACCGTGACAATGTAATATAGTATTGCAAGGCCAGGTATGAGGGTGGTAATGTAGAAATTTAGGCTTAGTCCTACTATGACCGTTATAATGTATTGCAATGACTAGTAAATATATATGACATTAATGCCAGGAATATATTATATATATTTTAAGTGATCGTCATTACAATTAAACAGTTTAATATACTATGATCATGGTGTTTATCTACCTTAATCATGTCAAAATCAAAATAACTACTATACATTAATATTCACAATACAGCATTGTCACGGTTATACCAGCCTGTCACGATCTTCTCTTTTTCCTAAATAATCCAATTTATATTTTGAGTGATTTTGTGTCAGAGCATGCCTTAGTGGAAAATGATATATCTCTTAATTTCCAAGTCATAGAGGCTATGCAAGCATATATTTTCTCCATTGAAATCTACATATAAAAATCATGAAGATTGCTTAAAATTATTGAGAAAGTTACTTCAAAATTAGTGGGTGGCATTTTTTGTGTCACCCTATACTTTGTATCAAATAGATTTAAGGTAATGAGGGAATGGCAGAAATTGATGTATCTGATATTCATATTATATAAAGTAGTAATTAATCAGGAGGGATTTGATATAGGGAATATCACAAGGATGTAATATCAATATATGTACCCTCGAAAATATCAATGTCATCTGAGGGATATTCCCCTAAAACCATAATTTATACAGAAACTTATTATCTGTCCATATTGTTGTATATTCTGTCTCCAACTCTGTCTCAGTCTCCAACTTTTTTGTGGATGATGTTCGGCATCTGGTGTGTCATGTATATGATGTGCTCATTATATCATATACAACTCTTCAGCATCATGCATAAGTGTTCATTTTTTCAAAAAAGAAATTCAGAAATTTTTTGAGTAAATGTTTTTCCCCCAATATTTTTCATTTTTCTTTCCCTCTCTTTGGGTAAATATAGTCTTTAAAGAATCTTAATATTCATGTAATTCTCTTAAAAAGTTGTTCTCTAGTTTCATGTAAATGCATACTTTTGAACATGTATATCAATTGTTCTTATACTGGAACGTCCCATGTAATCATTTGTATGTGTTTATTTGAATATATTGTAAATCATTACTGGGCCTCTAGGAAGACCAGTTTTGTACTTATAGAGCCATTTTGATTTTCACCATTCTGAGCATTTTTTAATTGATTTTGGACCAAAATTGTCACAAGTGAACCCCCCCTGGAATTTTTCAAAAAGTGGACCCCCCCCCCCTTAGCAAATCCTGGCTACGGGCCTGTAGGGCTACCGTATAATATAGTTTTCAAATCAAACCAAGTATACATTAAACCCAACTGAATTCTCGCCATCTGTTGACAATTCATTATATTTTGCAGCATGCCTTCTTCAAGAGCAGGTCCCCAACTACCCTAAGATTATTGACTACTGTGTAGATGTGGTTGAGAAGCAGCCAGATAATGTCAAGGCTATGTTTAGACTTGGACTTGCCTACTATGAGACTGGCGCCTTTGATAGAGCCCTATCTGTGTTGCGTCAGGCTAAACATCATCCTAAAGGTGAAAAAGGTAAGATCTTTGGCTACTGTCTGAAGCCTCAGTCACATTTGCTCTATGGCGGCTGTATGGCGGTCATAGCTAGCTCAACATTAACAAAATTGATATAGTCCAGTCCAGTGATCTGTTCACTTTGTCTTATACCCATTTTTAGTGAGAGAGGACACACCAGGGTCTGAACTCTGCCATGATGACAACTGCTAGAAATCTACAATACAGAAACTAAATTTTTCTTTTAAATTGCCCTTGAAATGACCAAATTCCTTTCGAAATGACCCGTACCCAAATACTTTGATATATTGTATCTTTTTTCAGGGACACCACAGGATACTACGTGTATGAGTTTATTGGGGGAGGATGCATACATATGAAACATCTTGTATACATCTATATCATAGATACATTTTACTTTTACTCTTTCACTTGCAGATCCCCAAGTAAAGAAATACATACAGCTCTGTGAAAAAAACTTAGTTCAACAGGATTCTGATCTCAAAGATACATATAAGAAAATGTTCAAATAACACCACACACGCCATCTTTTGATCTGGATCAAGCTTTTTATCATCATTTGAATTTGGAGCACCAGGATCATAAGTGTTGATATGGATTCCAACATTTTAGACCAGCTCAGCATCAGCATCAACTAGAGCAGCCTTAGCATGGATCCGCCTGAAGATCCTAGAGTCGTCTCGAAACAATAAATGTGAATCTTTCAAATGATGGATCACTAGTTGGAAGGAAACATCAAACTTGAAGATTAGATGACTTTTATGAAAAATGCTAATAAGCTTCACAATTTTTGTATGGTTCAACATTCCAGTTATTTTTCATTTTGGAAGTTTTTGCATGATTGATTGCACAGTTGCATTTGCCTTTTAATGTTATTTTTCCACAATTCTTCTGAATCTTGTAAAAATTAGTAATGTAGCATATAATTTGTATACTTTTTGATGTAATGCACAATTTGCCAAAATATGATGTGTGTTAGAGATTTTTCTCTTAGTAACTTTTATTTATTTACAGTCTTTACTTGTCTATATAATGAAACATTATTTTTAGGGCAAATTATTTTTAATTTTGAAAGGAACCAAAATACAAAATCAATGTACATTGACAAACTTTTAATTGCTTCTTGTATTCTTGCGTGTACGATAAGTAAGTGAAATATGCAAGTACATGCACATGTACACGGGTGTTAAGCCACGATGATACCATGAGCACATGCTTTAAGGATCCGCGTTGTTTGAACCTACCGCCGAGCTCAATTATACATTAAGCCCCGTTACACAGTCATGATACCGCCGAGCAAGCTCATTGCTTCATCGGGTCTGCTTTACCCATGTGATGTACAAGTACTTTAATGTTCATTCTAGGATTCAATTCTATTAAGTTTTTAATGGATTTTTACAAGTCATATTCAAGCGATAGTATCCATGCTTTGTGGTTGTTACAAGGGACACACTTGGAATGGAATCAATGTTTCCCTTGTGTTATCTTTCAGAAAGCAAATACATGTATAGAGTACTCTACTGTCTCCCTCTGTTATTGACAAGTCCAATTACCCAAATGCGAGTAGGTAGTTACCAGTTTCACCACCAGGTGGCTGATTCGGGTCAATTAACATGGCAGGTATATAAGAAAGTTCCCTTAAACTTGAATATTATCAATTTAAGTGGCTCAATTTTCATATAACCCTTATGTGTCTGATACTTATACTAATGAAAATATGTCCAGTAAAGCAAAATATTATCTGTCCATTAAAAGAAAAGATATTTCATTTTTTGTGATTTTATAGCATGGGGTCTATGGCGAATCTCCCCGAGCTAGAAGTCACATTTTCAAAGAAAATAAATTTTTAAAACCACATTTCTAGATGTAATTTTACATGTAGATTTCAAATATGATATTACTTTGACTGAATTTTGAATTTTTAATGACGTAAATCAAGATTATTCCAACTCGCATCTGGGTTATTGTAAATGAGAAATTTATGTTCAATTTATAGATGGCATACCAAGCAATATAGTCATCAGAAGTTAATCTGTTATCTTAAGATTTATCCACCCTTCAAATGATTGTAAGTCTTTAAGATCCAAAATATGTTTTGTAACCCTGTGTTTGGAAGAGGATGATTATATGATCCCTTATCCTTCTGATGTGTCTATCGTTCGACGAACATTTTCCAAGATCTAGAATAGAGTTCTGTAAGCCAGTGTTTGTGTTTGGGGGGGGGGTGTAAATATCAGAGTTCTTTCCATCTACAGTCTGTGAAAGTAGCTTTGGAACTGTGGAAGCCACATTGATCTCTACTGAGACCCATGCTCATTGCCAGCTGTTGCTAAGGGGTCACTTTTTAAAAAGTGCTCAAAAGGTGAAAAACTGCATGATTTTGAAAATGAAAAGGCTACGCTTTGATACCTTTAACTTGCACAGAAGCTACCAGTCACATACTATATTTGAGATGGCTAGTAAAACAATTTAGAAAGGGAACTGACCGTATATGTACTTTAATAAAACATAATTTGAGCCCACATTGAACAAAAGAAAAATCCAATTCTTCATAGCTGAATCAACTTAATACAAGCAAATACAATTTATTACAAATCTGTCACATATCATAGATAAAACATCCAGAAGAATAAGATGTAATAAAAAACTTCCTGAACCTCCACTCCTATCCATGTAGATAACAATGAATAAAATCTCCGTTAGCAGATGATTTAATCTTTTTTGCAATGAAATGAAAATTTCCACAATAATGCATCCAGGGCATAAAAAATATTGCTTGAAGAAAATTAGTTTTTTTTTCTTGTTTACATTCTCTCTTTATAGGAGAACACACAACTACAGGTAATTAGATATCCGACCTCATGCTTAAGTTGATATTTTCTAATCTTCTACTCCCTAAGTGAAATAAAGATGACCACAAACACAATACTGATTTACAAAACAAGCAAGGTTTATGTAATTATATATAAAGCTCTCAATGTTAAGAAGGTTATATGAGGTTACATTGTTCCTGAGTAGGCTCATTATACCATAAACAGCAAAATAGATTTATAAGGGCATACATAATCATAAAGTTCCGGAACTCACGGTTTCAACATTATAGGCTATAACAAGTAGATTGCTACATTATTTTGTTGTAATGGCAGTCTTTACCTCACATTGGCTTACGTGAGGTCGGATCTAGGGATTTTAGAATGCAATCAATGAAGATTATACTTACATGATGCTGGGATTGTGTATTAACTTATTTATTTTTATTATTTTTATAACATATTTTGTTCTGAATAGTCAAACCAACACTTTTTTGATTTTCTATGGTATTTTCTTGGGCAGGCGTGTAGTTATTAGCTTTCTGTTAAAATACTAAAGTAATATTGTATTATCTTTATTTTAATGACTTCGTTCTCCAGCTTGAGTTTTGCAATGATGAATGAGATGATGATGTCATGAAAGAAACGCCAAGTGAAGGGATGGGGGGGGATTATATGCCTTGTGTGGGGGGCTGATTTTCTTTAGTTTATCTCTGACATTGTCTATTTAATTCATTAATGATTTTTCACTTTTGCAAATTTTCATTATTTTTGGGGTACATGTATTTTGGACGGACATGATGGCACAATAAATTGGTGTAATCTCTGACATTACTAAACGTTTTATCAGACATATCCTTGATTTAAAAACTACCACTTTAGACTGAATGTTACCAGGATATAAGTGAGTGCAATGCCATATGGAACTCTAAATCGATGTGGAGTGTTCCATAGCTAAACACATCATTGATAAGTAAAATAGAACTTAAGCAATTTATAGAACTGAAGAAAATAGGTAGCAAAAATCAATTAATAACTTTTAAATGTCACTTTTATTTTTAGATACTGTATTACAATTATAGACATGTTGTTAAGTCCTTAGAAACTTTCTCCTCTGTTCAGTAATCATGATGTTATGGTAAATGAGTTGGGGAAAAAAAATTAGTGCTTGTCCGAACTCTATCCCATACCCGAAAAGCAGCGGTGCTGAATTATCCTAAAAATATGTGGCCTTATTTAAAGACTTGATATTTTTGATAACTTTTTCCATATCGAGACAAAATAATGTTTGTGTCGGACATTTTTAATAGGTCTTATTTTAAAGTAATCAGTATAATATAGTGATTTCATAATAATGATTCAGTCCCGGGGGTTCAGTTCATTTACCTCATCATTTCCTACACAATTGCTTTCCCGCTTGTTGTTTTGTAACATAAATTGAATCTGATCTACATTCAAATGAGTTACCAAGTCCTCAGACAGCTAATAACAAGTATTCATTAGTTGGTAGCCATGTTACATAACTGCATACCTGTTTTATATTGAGCTCATTTGTCTTGCTCTATTTATAGATGGGTAGTAGAATTATTATTCCAGTTTGCTACATATAGTTTACAGATCTGCATTATTTTACTGTAGTGTAATATTGCCCTTTGTGCTTACTTATGATGATTGTTTATGGATGGCTTCAAGCAAGACTTTCCTGATCTCATCATTGGATGTAAACATTGTTCATGTTATTAAAGGCTAATAACATCGTTACAATGGTTAATGACTTCTTTTTTGTTTATCTTGTCAACAAAGAATACCTGCTTTTTTGCCTTTATTAATGTGGTAACACAACTGTCAAGTCCATCAATATTTGACACCCATATTTAAACAATGATGTATGACACATATTTGCTCTGGAAGAGATACTTGAATTTGATGCATAATATAAAAGTTTTTTAATTCACAGACTCTCAAGTTCTCAGCTATCGTGCTAAATTGATTTTACAAGAGCACAGGGTTTCTCTTAAAGGCTGAATGCATTGGAACTTAATCAAAGGCCTGTTATACCCAATACACACTGGCTTACCTTTGAAAGTAAAACATTGATTCGATTTTTTTAATTTTACACCAGTTAGCATCATTGAAAATTGAATATTCAAATCAAAGTAGATGAACAATTTTAAAAACCACATTTTTGTTGTGTAGGTTTAAAATCTGAATTAACTTAAACTAAGTTTTGAATATTTAATGATGAAAACCTGGGGATGGAAATCAAGATTGTTTTGTCTTGCATCTTGTCTTTTTGGTCAATATTGGTCCAGAGGGCATACAAGTTCAAAGCAAAGCGCCATGCTCATCGCTATAGGGAAGATCAATGATTGTAAGATGTATTGTAGTATGATAAAATATCAAATTCGTTTGACTACATTTCTTAAAAGAGAGCTTCGTCTTCTGTAGTTTAACTAGACTCTGTATGCAGGGTAATGCCTATCTAATCTGGCAAATTTTAATAATGTCACTTAACAATCTCATTAGTCTTAGTCATATGCTTTAATTTGTTGGGCTTTGGGTAAATTTTGAAAGCCAAGTTGATTGGCAGCAAATTAAGAACAAAAACAGTATTTAATTGAGGAGGGAGGGGGACATGGGCAGGGTACATTCCTATTTAATTTTCATATGGCCTTTGTTCCTTACAAATCAATAGTAAACGTTTTGTTTTGAGGTGGGTGGGTGTTCAGTCAAAGAAAATTAATTGTCCTTCTTGATGAATGATGACTTATTGAACTGGCCCCTTTAGTCTACAATGATAAAAAATTATTGTTCATAGAGAAAGGACTCTGATTATTTATGGTGTATTGGGGTAGCAGAATACAAATTAATGGTCAGTTAGCATAATATATTTTATTTATCAATCTTGTATCCAAGACATAATCAATATCATATTGATGAATTACTGTCTTCAGGTCAAATTATAACGTGGAATTTGTTTATCAATCTGTGTGTTATATCTGATTTTGTCAATAAATTTGTGATAATTTGGGGAATCTGCCAGGGGTTTCTCCAGCTATCGTTGTTAGGGAAATATGTCACACAAAAACAGGCTACATAATCATTATGATGCCACATTTGGTTAGGGGAATTCCTAACAATATCCAAACACTTTCTCTTTTATTATTAGAGCACTTTGACATGCGATTAAAAGTCAAAAGTGTCTATTTTGCATTTAGTTAATGAACATGAATCTAATATTGATGTTATTCCCCAAAAAGTCATTTTTAACGATTTCTAAGCCCTTGATAGTTATATACATCCTTTAACTTAAAATAAACATATGTTTCTGAAAAACTGGAAAAGCTTGCAAGTGAAACTTTTTTTATTTTTAGTCATTTTACTGGTTTATATAATGGTATTTCACTTATTGTATATAAAACAAAACATGTATTATTATTAAGTTTACAAGATCATTGTTTGTGTAATTTCCATATTGATTCTGATATAGAGTAGCAGTGATTAATGAACATGTATTGGTAATAAACTGTTAGCTGTTTCCCATTGTTTAATTATCCCATCGAACAAAATTTGAGTAAGGGTTATAGAGAAACTGTCAATTCATCCCTGGCCCATCCTTCAAGATTGGTCCTTCACTGCTTTCATAGCAGATCATGATAATGTAACACAATGAATTACTCTTGGGCCAAGGATGCCTTGGCCCTTCATTTGTCTATTTGCCTATTAGTATGTCTGGACAATAATTCAAATACTGGCTGTCTAATTTGTTTCACATTTTATAGGCTGCTGCCTCACAGGGATAGAGCCTCTGCTCAATAAGGCATTTTCTTTAAAAAATTCTTTTTAAGCTCTAACTTAAATGCCTCTTTATCAATTTAGAATTGATGTCATGTTGGAAATAAAACTGATTACAAGTGAATTTCCAAAATGGCCTCAAAATTTAAAATGGTTGCCATTCTTTAGATAATTTCTAAAGTTTTTCCTTTAACTTGAATATTATTTGATGGATCTATACATTAAATATGCATTAATATTTTACAGTGAAACCTGTAAAGTGGAACATCTTTAGAAATGGAACACTTCTGTTAGTGGAACACTTTTTGGAGTCCCAAGATACAACCAATGATAAATGAACCTCTGTAAGTTGAACGCCTCCCAAGTGGAATGCTTATGAGAGGTACCAAAGGTGTTCCACTTAGACATGTTTATACTGTACATGGAAGGATGGATGGAAGGAAGGATTGCTGAATTCAGAATGGCGATCGTCATCTATAATATTAACAGTTTGGCTAAAACATGAGCATCTCTTTACGTCGTATTTGATATAAAAATACTTGTGATGATACCATGGTAATTCAAGAACAAATTGGTTCATTGATGAAAATATTGCTTGAAACATAAAATGTGTTATAATTTGTATTATGTATTAATTATAAAATGTATTTGTGTTTATTATCCAAATGTCTGAGATGATGCAGTTATCTATGTTGTTTTAAGATGTAGATTTGAGTAAATTCTAAAGCTATTAGGTGTAAAGGAAAATTTATACATTTTAATTAAATCAATGTTTTTCCATGGATAATAATTTTTTGGGAAGCAGGTTTGACAAGGTAAGCTAGTCAAAGAAAATCTTTCAAACCAATCAATAATGGAGCTATTTATGTCATTTAATGATACATTTATTATACTGTAGAATTTACCTGTAAATATACCTGATTTTCTTGAGAAGGATGTTAAATATAAAAATCATTATCACTTCAGCAAGAGGTTTCTGCAAAGGTATAATTTAATATTATATGTACCTATTTTCCATTGGTAGAGCAGGTTGTTCAGCTGCAGTTGACAATAGAGTACGAGCTTAATGGAAATTGAGTAGATACCTAGTATGCGTTGGCATCTACATATATTACTTCTATATGGAGCAATGAGGATAAATCATAAACACTATCTACCTATTTCGCTCAGTAACAAGAGGTGGGATCTGATAATTTTCATATTATACAGGAATATATAAGCTCTATGCAGCTCATCTTAACAGACACAAATCAAAGACAACTGAACAGCCTGACAGACTAATTATAGCTAAGCATTGCGGATGCGGTATTAAAAAAGTAACTCAGCCATATCTGGCTATAAACTTTGATGATTTAGAGAAGTGATAGGAAAACCAGAGAATAAACAGAACTGATAATCTCCCGTTCTTATATATAAAATGGATAATGCGAGAAAAAGCTCATGGCGGTTAGCAAGCTGAAGATTGGACTAAACAGAAATGTCGAACTATTCTGCAGGTTATACGCAAAGTCTTGCGTCGGGTGGTTCTGCCCTACTGGACGCGATTAACAAGGGGAAAGTTCACCTGGCTCGGTTTGTGCTTGATGCCTCAGAGCACAATGTTGTGAACACCAGGGATATCAAGGGAAAGACAGCTCTGATGCGCGTCTGCTATGTTAAGGTTAGTTCTTTAAGCATCTATAAGTAACTTATAACTCTATAAGTAACTCGTAACTCTATATGGCAACTGCATGGCTAAAATTTTACAGAAAATATTTTTTAGATTCGACATGTGAAATGTTAAATTTTGACATTATGTTAAAGCTATGAAAGTATTATATTCTCATCTGTTGAAACCTAGCCTCACCTATTCATATGCTTCACCTATTTATTGCCTCACCTATTCATATGCCTCACCAATTTATTGCCTCACCTTTTCATATGCCTCACCTATTTATTGCCTCACCTTTTCATATGCCTCACCTATTTATTGCCTCACCTTTTCATATGCCTCACCTATTTATTGCCTCACCTTTTCATATGCCTCACCTATTTATTGCCTCACCTTTTCATATGCCTCACCTATTTATTGCCTCACCTTTTCATATGCCTCACCTATTTATTGCCTCACCTATTTATTGCCTCACCTATTCATATGCCTCACCTATTCATATGCTTCACCTATTTATTGCCTCACCTATTCATATGCCTCACCTATTTTTTGGTCCTGGCTATGCCCCTAGTTAATATATATCATATTCCAAAGTTTCAAAAAATTCAAAAAAGCTCTATGTGTAAGCTTTTTTAAAGGAAAAATGTTCACATTTGAGTAATATATTGTGGTTATTTTTTTGTTCATTCAGAGCCATTGAAGCGAAACCCATTCATCTCTGTCCTGAACTTATTACATTATTGGCATTATCTGTCAATTAACTGTCAACAATAGTGGCAATTATGTTAAATTTAGATATTGTTTGTTATAACAGATATGTGTGATAACATATAATCTTAAAATATGTGGATTAAATGGAAATGTTACACTGAAATCAATAATATTAGTCGTGGTTATTATACTAATATTGTCACATGCATGGGTTGAGATATACACATTATGATAATAATATATCACTTAACCTGGGCTGACCTAGCCTTGCACAAGTCGGTCTCTTTTACTATCTTGATTTCTATTATGACCGCGGTAATAATTCAAGATCAGATAAGTAAAAAATACTGACTTGAGCAAGGCTAGGGCTGACCAGACAATATTGGATTTGAAGCAAGACTAGAAATGACTGCCCTTTCTCATAGTATAATAGATTTAAGCAAACAGTAAACATTTCTATATTTAAATTTGGCCTCATAATTTTGTTCTTACATCTTAGTATTTCCTGTAAAGTGTTTTTGTATTATCTCTGTATTATCTCAATACAATTTGGTTTTGAGATTTAGAAGTTATGTTATGTTTATATAAATGTATACAATCCAATCCACTTTACTTTTATATCATCTATTTAACTGGCATCATGACATTTTGCCTCTTACATATCAAAGGATCTGTACCTATAAGTTCCCAAATCTGCCCCCAAAGGACTCAATGAACAAAACATGGAATAGTTACTTTTATATAAACATGTTTGAAAATAGATTAGGTTTTCATTTCATTTTCATGTTATATTTATTCATAATACATAAAATTACAATTCTGGATAAGCTGCCAATGTATCTTTAGCGTTATAGGTCATTTGAATTAGATTGAAGGTCATTGTAACCCCTTTGGGAGTAATTGTAGGTCTTCAATCATAACATTTTCAGCATTTTAAGTATGATGATGATGTTTTACAATGTATACCAATACACCATTAAGTAAATTAAAAGGGTTATATTTAGAAAACACTAAACAATTAATAACCCCTAAAAGCCATATCAAATGAGCAAAGTAATCATCATTGATGATGAAGGTTGGCCTTTTTAAATTTTATGATAATGTGATAACATATAAATCAAGGAAATACACAAAGGGCAACGAAACCATGCAAAATAACCCCTAAAAGCCATATCAAATGAGCAAAGTAATCATCATTGGTCACGGGGGATAAGCAAAACGAGGGCCAAGCCACGGACTGCGACTCGCATAACTTTACACCGCAGCCCAGCGCCAAAATGGAGGGACATCCAGCAGTGCCTTCTGCTTCTTCCGACAAAATAGAGAAATCCAGGTATTTTAAATGCTATCGTAGTGTCTAATCGGTGACCAAAATATTACTCTGTATCTACTGTTGGTTTGTAGATAAGAAAATAAGCAGTTGTCAAGATCAAGCTAAAACAATAGCAAAGTTCTGATTTTACCTGTAAAATATGTGCATATTATTTAATTTACTATACATTTGAAAGGAGTTTTAACACGTTTCTGATATCTAAAGGTTAGTTGAGGCTCCGAGTATAATTCGTGAAAATGATTTGATAATAGAATGTGTTCATGAGGAGAAAATTTGATTCAAACTGCGCATTCATAGTGGACGCAGTCCAGTAAACAAAGCTATTTCAACAACGCAACACAGCCTCCATTGATATTCTAAGCAACGCAGTCCAGCCGCGAACACGAAATAAATAAGATAGTGTAAACTATATTCCTACGCTATTATTGTTTCAGGAAAAGAAAGTCAGCATCCAGATTATCATTCAAAGTTACGTTGATTAACATATATCTATTACCTGAATCATTGTCCCAAATTGCTATATTGTATCGTTTAAGACCTAGAAATATGGCAATTCAATAGCGTATCTGGCAGAACAGTCGAGCGCAAGATGACAACGTAATATGTTTATTACAAACCAATTTGTGGATAGGGTTAAATATATAGATAATTGGATAGTGGTGAGACTTTTTATAAGAAGTAGAAATGCGAAACAATTAACTTTTTGATGATGCAATAAAAGCTGTTGGGGAAGGGTACATTAACTAGTATTTAAGATATCAGGAAAATATCAAATAATTGGAGAGTTGGTGAGTTAATGTAATTTTGGATGATCTTTCCAACAGTCCATCAATATTGCTAGCTACCATAAATTCATGATTTCAGCTGTATTTGACAGCTTGTATATATTTGCAGAATGGATTGAGACACGTTGAGGTCTATTAAAATAGCCCTTTATATTCAATTTTGTCCAAAGTTGCTCCATTTCGGCCACACCTGTACACACATTGTGCTATCTACCTTTGGCTGTGATTGCGTTCAGCTTCAGATATAAAGCAACGCTGAGTCGCGGACTGCGTTGGGCAGATGGATGCACTGCGACTATTATAAATTCCAATTTTCTATGTAATTGTACGTTTTCCGCTTACCAAATATCACACGAAGATGTAATTGTAACAACAGAACATGAATAATTATATTAATTCGATGTCATTTCTGATTCCTTTGTTTAAATCGGTATATTAGGGACAAATATTGACAAAATTACATTTTTTGTGGCAGATTTCGAATTCATTTGTGTTCATGCTAAACTATTGGACAGCCGAGCACCAAGAATGCCATTGCAGGTGGAGTATGAATATGTTGATCACCGACTGGAACATACTAGCTATTCTGTAGAATATCCAAACCAATAATCTACCCCAAATCCTAACATGCCTTCCAAATTAAGTTTGGACTTACCGCCATTGTTCAGCTATAATGCGTGTAACCTCGTTTTGAATTACGCGAGCCGCAGTCCGTGGCTTCGCCCTCGTTTTGCTTATCCCCCGTGTTGGTGATGGTGATGAAATGCATTAATATGTAAAAAACAAAAAACATCACAAAATAACCCCTAAAACTTGATCTTAAATTGATTCACAAATGACAATTATTATAAAAGTACGATATTTACATAACAAGTTAATTAACCCCTCTGTAACTAATATAGAATAAAGTACAAAACCAATCTTCTAATAGTTGTTTACAAATTTTAGTTTCTACCCCTACAATCTACAATAACATCTAAACAAAAGATGATTGATACTTTCTTGTTATCATAACTTACTGATAACAACTTCATTGCATAATCTTTGCAATCAATGCAACATATAACAATAACAAAATTGCATTATTACATGTATGTCTATACAAATTAATTAAGGTAAAATGAGAAGATTCTAATGCTCAGACACCTTTATCTTTCATTAAATGGGAGATCATTCATTGTAAACTAATACATTTGTATATTTTGTATCAGGCTTTTCTGCCAACAGTTTCATGATTGTAGAAAATATGAATAGTAATTAATATTTTCAAGAACCAAACCATACATAGTACACTACCTCACGGCACATTCTATTTAGAGGTATTGCCATAATTGGATCTTTTCTTGAGAAAATATTGCTTACAAATGTCCAATTATTTGCAAAAACAATAACATGAAAGATGATCGACTGTTTGCTGCATGAAAAGAACCTATCTGAAAGTATTTCAAAATGAACTCGGAATTGTGAAAATGAAGAGGTTCGAGAACATGGTTAAACATGTGCATGTACTATAAAACACATTATGAAGATGAATTAATAGATCATCTCTCATATTATATAATATGTCGTGAGACAATGCGGGTGTCTTTTGAAGAGCTGTGATATATTTCTCTAGATAAGATAGGGGATTTTTTATAATAAGTTATAAAGTCCTGGGATTGTATGTTTCATGGAGGCTTTCAAATCCCATCCATCATACAATCAGAAAAGTTCATCGGTAAAATAGACATTGAAGGTGACAAAAATAAGCTGGTCATCAGATGGTCAGTTTACTTCTGATAAAAATGATATCAAAGATAAGAAAATACCAAGTCATAATATCCTCCAATTATGCCAGAAATAAACATTTTGTTGATCAAATCATTTTCATAAAATTTTGAATCATCCATTTTGTTTCTGTTATTGATGTTATAAAAAAAAGTGCTATATTGTAATCACTTTGAAAGTCTAGAACTGATTAGTTTTTCGACATTCTGGATAAATGTTGGATTTTTCGTCCTAAAATCGTGTCTGTGAAGGCTTGTTTTAAAAAATAAAAAAGGATTTCCCATTGAGAGCAATGTTAAATTAAAACATTTTTTTAGAAATAACTAAATGGTCAATCTTTCCAATTTTCACATATTTTGTAATATATCAGTATATCTTTTACCAGGATTTTTTTCAGGAAAATCTGAATTGTA